AGTAAATAAAAAATAATATTTAATAACTTTTTAATTAAAAAAGCTAATTAATATTAAATATTAATAAATTATAAAATATTAAAAGCTATTAATTATTATAAAAAACTTTAAATATTAAAAATAAGTTTTTAAAAAAAGAAATTTATTTAAAATCTTTATTAATTATTAAATAATAAAAGATATTATATAAATATTAATATATAATCTAAAAAGATAATTAATTTAATAAATTTACTAATTATTAATATTTAATTTTAAAATTAAATATAAATTTAAAAAAATAAATTTTATAAACTTATTATTAAAGTAATTTAATTATATATTAAAAAAGCTTAAATATTAAAAAGTTATTAAAAAGCTTATAATTAAATTTAAATTAAAGAAAAACTTTAAAATAAAAGGAAAATTAAAAATATATCTAATAGACTTTATCTTAATTATAAATTAAAAAGTTTATTTTATAGGAAAGCTATTAAATATTTTAAAATACTAAATATATAAAGTTTTATTAAAAGTAAAAGTAAAAGAAATCTATATTAAAAAAAAATATAAAAGATATATAAATATTATTTAAAATCTTATAGCTAATAAAAATTTTAGTTACTTAATATAAATAATTATCTTTAAAAATTAAATAATATTAATAAGTTATATAAAAAAATATAAATATAATATATATTAATTAAAAATAAAAGCTAATTAGTAAATAATAGTAATTATAAAAAAATAAATTAAAATTTTTAATTTAAAAAAATAATTAAAAAAAAATTATAAAAACTATTTACTAATTAGATAATAATAATCTAAAACTATTAATTAAAATTAAAATATTAACTTATAATTAATAAATTTTATATTTAATTATAAAAAAGATTATAAAAAATAAAATAATATTTTCTTTAATAACTAATACTAAATTTTAAAAGATTATATATTAATTATAATAACTAGACTTTAATTATAAAAAACTTATTAATAGTTTATAAAATATTAAAATAAAAAATAAATATTATTTAATTTTAAATAAAATTTTATTTTATAAAAATTATTTAATAATTTTTAAAAAAAGCTTTTTAAAAATAAAACTATTATATAAATATTATAATAACTTATAGATAAATTATATAAATATAAATTAGAT